CTGAACAGACCAATATCAAGCACAGAAATTGGAGCAGCAATAAAAAATCTTCCAAAAAATAAAAGAGTCCCAGACCAGATGGGTTCACACCCGAATTTTACCAAACATACAAAGAACAACTCATACCTATACTGCAGAAATTATTGCAAAACATTAAGAAAGATGATATCCTCCCCAGCTCATTCTATGAAGCCAATATCACCTTGATACCAAAGCCAGGAAAAGATGTAGCAAAAAAAAAACCACAAACCAATATCACCCATGAATATAGATGCAAAAATTCTCAACAAAATTTTAGCAAACTGAAACCAACAGCACATCAAAGAAATAATTCACCACGACCAGGTGGGCTTTATCCCAGGGATGCAAGGCTGGTTCAACATATGCAAATCTATAAATGTAATTCACCACATAAATAAAAGAACAAAGACCATATGATTCTCTCAATAGATGCTGAAAAAGCATTTGATAAAATCCAGCACACTTTTATGAGAAAAACTCTAACAAAATAGGCATAGATGGAACATTCCTTAAAATTATTAAGGCCATAGATGACAAACCCACAGCCAATATCATATTGAAGGGGGAAAAATTGAAAGCATTCCTGCTTAGAACTGGAACCAGACAAGGTTGCCCACTATCCCCACTTCTATTCAACATAGTGCTGGAAGTTCTTGCCAGAGCAACCAGACAAGAGAAGGGAATTAAGGGTGTCAGAATGGGGGCAGAAGAGGTCAAACTCTCACTCTTTGCTGATGATATGATATGATATGATATACCTTGAAAATCCCAACGATTCAGCCAAGGGACTCCTGAAGTTGATAAACGAATTCAGTAAAGTTTCAGGATACAAAATAAACAGACACAAATCAGTGGCATTCATACATGCCAATAACAGTCAAGCTGAAAATCAAATCAAAGACAGAACACCTTTCACAATAGCATCAAAGAAATTTAAATATTTAGGAATACATTTAACGAAGGAGGTGAGAGATATTTATAGGGAGAACTACAAAACACTGAGAAAAGAAATTGTAGACGATATGCACAGATAGAAATCCCTACCATGCTCATGATTGGTAGAATCAATATTGTTAAAATGTCCATTCTACAGAATTAATGCAATCCCTATTGAAATTCCACCATCATTCTTTACAGATTTAGAAAAAATAACTCTACACTTCGTCTGGAACCAGAGAAGACCTCATATAGCCAAAGCAATCTTAAGCAAAAAGAAAAAATTGGGAGGCATCTGTCTGCCAGACTCCAGTCTTTATAAGGGGCTATAGTAATCAAACAGCATGGTACTGGCACAAGAACAGAGATATAGACTTTTGGAATAGGACAGAGATCCCAGATATAAAACCATCCTCATATTGTCATCTAATCTTCGACACAGCAGACAAAAGTATACATTGTGGAAAAGAATCTCTATTCAATAAGTGGTGCTGGAAAAGCTGGATATCCACATGTGGAAGACTGAAACTGGATCCCCACCTCTCACAAAAATCAACTCACGTTAGATAACAGACTTACACCTAAAGCGTGAAACCTTAAGAACTGTGGAAGAAAATGTGGGGAAGATTGTTTTAGAATTTATGAGGAAGACCCCCAAAGCAACCAGAGCAGCAACAAAAATAAACAAATGGGACCTGATCAAATTAAAAACCTTCTGCACAGCCCAGGAAACTGTCCTTAGAGCAAATAGACAACCTACAGAATGGGAGAAAATATTTGCTTTTTACACATCCGATAAAGAGCTGATAACAAGAGTCTATATAGAACTTAAGAAAATCAACAAGAAAAAAATCAAACAACCCCATCAATAAATGGGCAAAGGACAGGAATAGAAACTTTTCAAAAGAAGACAGAATAACGGCCCACAAACATATAAAAAAGTGCTCAACATCTCTAATCATTAGGGAAATGTGAATCAAAACCACAAGATATCACCTAACTCCAGTGAGAATGGCCTCTATCAAAAAGTCCCCAAATAACAAATGCTGGCGTGGATGAGGAGAGATTGGATCACTCATACACTGCTGGTGGAACTTCAAATTAGTACAACCCTGTGGAAAGTAATTTGGAGATAGCTCAAAGAGCTAAAAATAGAAATACCATTTGATCCAACAATCCCACTACTAGGCATCCATACAAAGGGGAAAAAAAGACATTCTATAATAAAGTCATCTGCACTCGAATGTGTATAGCAGCACAATTTACAATTGCAAAGATGTGGAAACAACCCAAATGCCCATCAATACATGACTGGATGAATAAAATGTTGTCTAGTATACCATGGAATACTACTCAACTACAAAAAATAATGGTGATCTAGCACCTCTTATGTTATCATGGATAGAGATTGAGCACATCCTTCGAAGTGAGGTATCACAAGGATGGAAAAACATGTACCACATGTACTCACCATCAAATTGGTACAAACTAATCAACACTAAGGTGAACACATGGTAGTAATACTATTGGATGCCAGTCAGGTAGGGGGGATGGGGTTTGGGGGATAGAGTAGATGGGGTGGGTAAACCCACAGCTAATGGAGATGGGGCACACTCTATGGGCAAAGGACACACTTATGGCCCTGGCTTGAATGAGGCAAATGCATTTCATGTAACCAAAATGTTTGTATCCCCATAATATCCTGAATTAAAAAAATATATTGGTGTAAACTTGATCTTGAGTGAGGCTTTTTTAGATATGGCACCAAGAGCACAAGAAATCAAATAAATCAATTTGCCTTTGTAAAAATTAAAACCTTTTGTGCTTCAAAGAACACTATCAAAAAAGTGAAAAGACAACCAAGAGAATGGGAGAATATATTTTCAAATTATGTATCTGCTAAGGGTCTAGCATCCAGCATAAAGTAGTATTACAACTCAATAATATAATGAAAATGGGCAAATGATTTGAATATACTTTCTCTGAAGATATAAAAATGGCCAGTAAGCACATGAAGATTCTGAATGTGATCAGGGAATTCAAATCAAAATTATCATCAAATGATACAATAAATGTCAAGGGCTTATTATGATGCCCAGTACACAGTAAATCCTCAATAAATGTTAAACGTTTCAATAAAATATTTCATGAGGAAAAAAAGAACAAAATTACAAGGAGATACTACTTTATGACCACTAGGGTGGCTATAATAAAAAAATACAGAGAGTAGCAAATGTTATTGGAGGCCTCATTAGTTGTTGGTGGGGATGAAAAATGGTGTAGTCATTTAGGAAAAATAATTCGGCAATTCTTCAAGAAGTTAAACATAGTTACTATGTCTTAAAAATTCAAGAAAAGTATCAGAAAAGATTACAGGCCAATTCACTCAAACTCAGATGCCAAATTCTAAATGAAATATTAGCAAACTATCTAGAAGTGTATAAAAATGTATTTTATGATGTTAAGTCATAGTATTCCAGGAATGTGAGAATGGTTTGACACTGGAAAACAATCTGTAAATGTCATTCATTCCATTAACAAATTCGAGGACAACACTCACAATATTATTTCAAATTATGCAAAGAATAAAATGGACCTGAGGAATATTTTCTGGGTGATAGAAGTGTCCTAAAACTGGATTGTGGTGACAGTTTCATCTGTCTATTAACTTATTAAAAATCCTGGAATTATATCCTTAAGATTTTATGATATGTAAATTAAACCTCAAACCTATAAAAAATAAATAAAAAGCTCTGCAAGAGAGATCTTGGTGGGGTGAGGTACATCAGGAGCTATGTCTTAGGCAACACAGTACAATACCGTCAGCCTATTAGACTATAAATTAATGTGTCAAGTAAGATGAAAGGATCTTCAGTTGCAGAGAATTTGGAAGATCTAACATAAAGATGACAAATCAGGCTTTCTATTGGCTGATGTACCTTGGGCAAACCAGGCTCTCTGGGCTTCAGATCCATATTACAATGGTGACTTCAAATCTGATGAATCTCAGTGTTCAATTTTCTTTTGGTAATAGTTTTATTGAAATAAAATTTATGACTCACTCAATTCACCCATCGAAAGTGTACAATCTCATGGTTTTGAGAATATTCAGATTTGTGCAACCATCACAATAAAACATTTTCATCACCGCCCCAAAATTCTGCCAAAGTCAATCTGTAAGTATGTTCATTTCATACCATTACTAAGCAGCCATTTAATAATGTATAAAACCTGTAAGATATAATTTTATCTCTCAAAGGATAACAATATCTAGCACTCACCTTGTTAAGCCTAGATTTACATTGTACTTTCAGCAAGGTATAACCTTTAGGATTCTGAGACTCTCACTTAGATATCAATTACTCAGACTTTAGCCTTGAAGGGTATTTTCCTGTCCAGAGCCTGAACAAAACTGTATCAAAATGAAGGCAGATTTGGACTCCTTCTAGGTGTTAGATTTCACAGTCGACACTGGCTGCTGGGAGATTAGTGAGATAGTGGTAGTGTGGGTAACAGTGGGGAATGTATGTTGTCTGCACGAGCCTGCATTTCTCCGTGTATGTTTTGCCTTCACTTGTTTGATTTTTTGTTGGTTTGCCCTTCCTGCTCTCCATGAAGTGTGACCTTCATGAATGCAGGGGATTCACATATTCTTTGGCCATGGATGTACTGTAAGTACACAGAACAGTGCCTTGCAGGTAGTCACTGCTCAGATGTTTGGGTAACTGTATTGAATCTGGTTTCATGCTATCTGGTTCCCTCCAAAAACTCCAAAACAGGTTATTAGGAGGAGCTTATCCTAGTAAGGTCATCAAGTTACCGAAACTGAAGATGACAAGAACCCCATGAGTTGTAAGAAAGCCTTAAGAACCACAGAACCCTCTTGAACTTGCAACAAGACTAGAATTACTAAACGCTCAGAACCCACGTGGTCAGCTAATGATAGGGAGTCTAGACTAGAAAGAACATCAGACTATCAGAAATCATTGCTCTGCTCCCAGGGGTACAACTGTTAACTATTTTTCCACTGCCCCTTTTCTAACCTGATCCTTCTTCCTTGCTTGGTCCTTGGTCAGTCTTTATTGGCTCAAAATCTCCTGGTATTTCAGCCACAGAATGTTCTGCAACAGAGAAAAAGGGAGAATGGTCTCAAAGTCATAGCAATTACCCAAGCCAGGGACAAGAGCATCTCATTTTGAACTTGTACATTTCAGTCACAGTTTTGCTGTGTGGCCTTGGGTAAGTCTCACAATGAGGTAGTCGGTTACAGCTATTAAATGTCAGGAGTCAACCTCAACACCTCGGAGTTCAGACCTAGTTAGACCTACTAGGTCTAACTCTCATGAGTTCAGACCTACTCACGAGACGCCTGTGAGTTACCTAAGTAGAGATGCCTTCAACTCACGAGGCCCAACACTGACTACGCTTCTGATAGACTTGTTGGAAAAGATCTCTCCCAGTGTTTCTTGGGACGAGATCAGGGGACCCCATCCACCCAGTTTCTTATGCCAAAAACTTGGGTATCAGCCTCCATACCAGGTTCTCTCTGCATTTAGTTCTTAAGACCTGTTCTGTCTGCTTCTGAAACATCTCTCAGCCCATTTCTACTTCTTTCACTAACTGCCACTCTACTCCAGGCCCCACTTATGTCCCTCATGGGACACAAGGATGGCCCGCAAGTGGTTTCCCCACATCTATCCATGACTCCCTCTGGGTCACTCAACACTTTACCAATAGGGCTGATAAAGGGCTGACAACCAGAATCTATCTAGAACTCAAAAAAATCAACAAGAAAAAATCAAACAACCCCATCAACAAATGGGCAAGCGAAATGAACAGAAACTTTTCAAAAGAAGACAGAATAATGGCCAGCAAACATATAAAAAAATTCCCAACATCTCTAATCATTAGAGAAATGCAAATCAAAACCACAATGAGGTATCACCTAACCCTGGTGAGATTGGCCTCTATCAAAAAAACACAAAACAACAAATGTTGGCGAGGATGTGGAGAGACAGGAACACTTCTACACTGCTGGTGGGACTGCAAATTAGTGCAACCTCTGTGGAAAAGAATTTGGAGATACCTCAGAGAGCTAAAAATAGAAATACCATTCGATCCAGCAATAGCACTATTAGGCATCTACCCAAAAGAGCACAAAACATTGTACGATAAGGACATCTGCACCCGAATGTTTATGGCAGCACAATTCACTATTGCAAGAATGTGGAAACAACCCAAGTGCCCGTCAATCCATGAGTGGATTATCAAAATTTGGTATATGTTCACAATGGAATATTACTCAATCATAAGAAATGACAGTGATCTAGCACCTCTTATACTTTCCTGGATTAAACTTAAGCCCATTATCCAAAGTGGGGCACAAGAGCAGCAGAACGGGATCCATTTGTACTCACCATCAAATTGGTATTAACTAATCAACACATAAATGCACATATCAGAACAACATCTATTGGATGCTGGGGAAGGGGGAGGGTGGCGGGTGGAGGGGGGAGGAGGGAGGAGGGGAGGGGTATTTGTATACACAAGGAGTGCAATGCGCACTACCCGAAGGATGGACATATTTGAAACACGGACTTTGGTGGGGGGGGGGAACCAAGGGCAACACACGTAACCTAAACATCTGTACACCCATAATTTTCTGAAATAAAAAAAAAAAAAGAATCTCATCTTTGTCACTTATTAGCTCATGGACTTGGTCAATATCCACAGTTTTGGCTTTTCCCCTGGGGAGCCTGTTTCATTGGGTGGGTTTGACAACCAGGGGCAGGGCACATGAGAGTCTCAGTGTAGTGCCGACTCAGTAAACATCAGCTAGCACTGTAATTTTTATACCCTAATTTCCAGAGAATACCATGAACACGTCTTCCACACGGGGAATTTCCAAGGTTTGGAAGAAACAGCCCTTCAAGTCCTCTGTAGCTGAAGCTTCAAGCTTCATCCGAATGGCTGGTGTGCAGGTGTGTAACACCTGTGGCCTGAAGGGCCAACTTGGCTGCTCAATCATTGGAAGCTTTAAGTTTTCAGTCTATAGCTGAAGAGAGACTTTCTCCTAATAAAGGAGAACTTTAATTTTTTAAATTTTATTTTTTGTTTAAAAGTATTGTGGAGGTAAAAATGTTTTTGGTTACATGGCCTATCACCCAGATAGTGTTCATCGTACCTGTTAGGTAGGTTTTTGCCAATCCCTCTGCTTGGTTTCCACTGAGTTTTACTTCCCTCTATGCACATGTGTGCTCATCAGTTAGTTCCAGTTTACTAGTGAGTACATGTGGTATTTTTCCATTCTTTAGATAGTTTACTTAGAACTTTTTTTTAAAAAATGGCCTTTCTCCTAGATACCCTAAGATAACAACACAGTCTGATCTGAGTCCATTTTTGCAATATGGGACCGACAGTCCAAGGCCAATCCTTCAATCTGTGTCTTGAATCTCAGTTTTTCAGCCCAGGGCTGAGTGGCAGACCTGTCCCCCACCCCCACTGAACTATCAGTGTTCTCAATAAGTGAACAAAGCTTTGTTGCCCACTTTCTATATGTTATCCATCAAGCCTTTACAACGGTACATATGATATCACAGCCCCTATTCTAAGATGTAGAATCCAAGGGTCAGAATAAGAGGAGATGTGTCCAAAGTCAGGAGTAACAAGCAACAGTTCCAGAACTCAAGCTTACCACTCAAGCTCCAAATCCTATTAACTTCAACTGAATTCCATCTGGGTAGAGCAATCATCTACCCGTTTCTCCTTCTGCATCATTTCACAGGCTGGAGACTACACTAATTTCCAGCCAGTGGGGATGACCAAGGAGTTGCTTCTCACAGTTCAGACTGTCACTGCAGAGGTGGACACAATTACACAACAATGGCACCTTCCCCATTCCCATGAGAACTTGGTATCATCCCTTTTCTCTCCTGCCCCAAATTGTTACTCACTTTTCATCTCATCCTTTGCTTTCTCAGAGAGTGTTGGCAGGTTCATCTCTTCAAAGATGTTAATGGACATTTCCCAGGCATGAGGTCCTGTGTAATACTCATGCAAGAGGAAGGCCAGATGTTCCACATCGGCATTAACCACTTCAACCAATGGAATAGAGCTCTTTGTCAATTCTGAAGACTTTTTCTTTAGTAATTCCTTAAATGTCTGAAATTCTTCCTTGTCTAGTTCCTTGAGACACCATTGCAGTCCATCAATGGAAAAGGCGGGTAATTTGTCTTCTGCCATCCTGATGCAAGATTGAAAGCTCAGGTTTTGGTGGAAAAGTGGATTCTTTGGTAATGTGGAGTGAACGGGACCTGTGGGAAGCGTGACAAGACACTAAATAGAATCTTCCAGCAAATTTTCAAGCTCATACAATGAACCTCAATCAACTTCATAGAGGAGCAACATTCTCAGCTCCTTTTCAATTTTTCATGGACAAAACCATAGTTGCCATATCTATCCTGTTACCAGAATATAAGTTCTGGGATATTTTGTTGTCTGTACCCTTAGTTACCAAAATAGCATCTGGCATTGAATAAGATTCCATATACATGCCGTGAAATCCTCTTGGCTAGGACATCATACTCAAAGACACTGGAGAGAAGGTTCTTGCCAGTTACTAAGAATCAGTTTTTAATTTTTAGATTAGTTGATTTCCATTATGCCTGTTAATACAATATTGGTTTATATAAATACAGGAAACAACTTTGGTATAAACTAAGTCAATATTTGCAAGTTGATGAATTCACATGGATTGGAAGAATTATATTGTTAAAATGGCCATACTGCCCAAAGCAATCTACAGATTCAATGCAATCTCTATCAAAATACCAACGGCATTCTGTGAATAGAAAAAAACTATCTTAAAATTTGTTTGTAACCACAAAAGACCCCAAATAGCCAAAGCAATTCTGAGGGAAAAAAATAAAAGCTGGAGGCATCCCACTACCTGACTTCAAAATATACTACAAAGCTATAGTAACCAAAACAGTATGGTACTGTCATCCAAACAGACACATAGACCAATGGAACAGAATAGAGAGCCCCAAATTCACGTATTTACAGCCAACTGATTTTGGGCACAGAGAATCTATGCTGGGGGAAAACACATTGTCTTTAATAAATGGTGCTGCTAAAACTGAATATCCATATGCAGAAGGGTGAAACTGGACCCCTAACTCTCCCCATATACAAAAACCTACTCAAAACAGATTAAAGACAAATGTAATACCTGAAACTAGAAAATCATTAGAAGGAAACATGGTAAAAATGCTTCAGGTCATTGGTCTAGGCAAAGATTTTATGGCTCAGACTTCAAAAGCGTAGGCCACGAAAGCAAAAATAGACAAACAGGATTATGTCAAACTAAAAAGTTTCTGCACAGCAAATAAAACAACAGAGTGAAGAAACAACCTGTTGAACAGGAGAAAATATTTGCAAACTACTCAAGAGACATGGGACTAATATCCAGAATATTCAAGGAACTCAAACAACTTAATAGCAAAACACCAAATAATCCAATTAAAAAGTGGGCAAAGGATTTGAATAGACATTTCTCAAAAGACATACAAATGGCCAAGTACATAAAAAATGCTTAGCATCACTAATCATCAGGGAAACGCAAATCAAAACCACAATGAGATATCATCTCACCCCAGTTAGAATGGCTAATATCAAAAAGAAAAAAAATAAATACTGGCAAGGATGCAGAAAAACAGGAACTCTTATACACTGTTGGTGGGAATGTAAATTAGGACAGCCATTCTGGAAAACAGTGTGAGGGTTCTCAGAAAACTAAAAATAGAATCATATGATCCAGCAATCCCACTGCTGGGTATTTATCCAAAGGAAAAGAAATCAGTATGTCAAAGAGATACCTGCACTCCCATGTTTATTGCACTATTCACAGTAGCCAAGATATGAAATCGGCCTAAGTGTCCCCAGTAGACAAATGGTTAAAGAAAATGTGGTATATACACAATGGAATACTAGTTAGTCACTAAAAAAATACGGAAATCCTATCAGTTGAAGCAACATGGATGAGCCTAGAGGATATTATGTTAAGTGAAATAAGTCAGGCATGGAAAGATAAATACTGTATGTTCCCATTCATATGTGGAAGTTAAAAAAAATTGAGCTCATGGAAGTAGAGAGTAGAATTGTGGGTATTAGAGGCTGGAAAGGATGGGGAGAAGATGGTTAATGCAAAATTACAGCCAGATAGGAGTGAGTCTGGTGTTCTGTGGCAAGGTAGGGTGAATATTGTTAACTTATTGTATCTTCTCAAAAAGCTAGAAGAGGATTTTGAATGTTTACAACACAAAGAAATGATGTTTGAGGTGATAAATATGCAAATTACCCCAACTTGATCATTATATATTGTGTACATATATTGAAATATCTGAAATTTCATTTTATTCCATAAATACATACAATTATGTATCAACTAAAATTAAACAAAAAAACTGCAGCAAATATACTTAGTGGGGAAGCTTTTTGTTTTGGATAAAAAGCAGGGATCAGCAAACTTCCCGAAAGGAGCGAGTATTTTAGGCTGTGTGGCTGTTTAGTTTCTGCCATGACTGCTCACCTCTGCTCTGGTGGGGTGAGAGCAGTCAGATGATATACAAATGAGGGAAGCTGTTTCCAATAAAGCTTTATTTATACAAACAGGCAATGAGCTGGATTTGATGCATAAGCCACAGTTTGCTGATCCCACAGAGGGAATCAGATAAGAACATTAGCTGTCAGCATTTCTGTTCAGGTTTTTTTAAAAAATTATTTAAACATTTTTAATGTTTTAATTTTTATGAGTACATAATAGCTGTATATCTTTATAGAGTATATGTGATGCTTTGATACAGACTTATACTGTCTTCACTAGTATTTATATTCGGTATTCCACTATTATATTTACATTATTTATATCCGGTAGGAAAGCAATCAGACAAAAAGGTATAAAAGTAGAAAAGGTAGGTTAAAAAAAAAATCAACATTTGTAGGTGTGTGTATGCCTTATAAAGCCAAGGAAATTACTTAAACTATTATAAATCATTTGAAGTCATTAAATAGGGTCGGGAACAGATGTGACTAAAATCCACCCTAATTCTAATAACCAGTTAGAAAACATAATGTGAGATAAAATTAATAGCAACTACAGAGATAAACATGTTTGTAAAGATGTGCTTTAAAAGCTTTAAAATACTTCTGTTAGATAAAAACCTTAAGACAAAGTATATTTTCAACATAATTATCCTTAAAGTAATGAGTATGTCATTCAAGAAGTCCTGCTGATATTTTTACTAGGACAAGCAGCTCATTAATATTCTTATAAAAGGCCAAAAACAGACCCCAAAATTCTGAAAAAAACTGAAATTTACTTCGTCGGTAACTAAGCTAGACTTCAGCATCTATGAGAGAAGGTCACCATTAGGGTCTAACATAGTGGATGTGCTAAATTTTCAAATATTTGTATTTATTTGTGCTCACGAATTCCTACTTTATATTTAATCCCCAATTAGCAGATGGAACAGAATGTCTCAACCTAGTAGTATAAACAAGACAAAGATGACAAATTGTTTCAACATATTCCCTCCCCATTCAAAAAAAAAATCTTTAAAGCCTCCCTAGAAAAAACTGGTATAAATAAATTTGAAGTATATGACAAAGATACATTATCTAAAGAGCTCTTCCAATCCATGAAAATGCTCAGTTTATTAAAAGGATTTCAAAAGTTCAGAAAAAATCTGAATATGGCCTTTAAATGTACTTGAAGTCAAAATTATTGATACTATACGAATAAATCCCATATTGTCTAGCGGTTAGGATTCCTGGTTTTCACCCAGGCGGCCCAGGTTCGACTCCCGGTATGGGAACGCTGTAGCTTCACATGTAACCTAAACATCTGTACCCCCATAATATGCTGAAATAAAAAAAAAAGAATAAAAATGTGCCATGTTTGACATAATGTCCATAATGCTTGATTATATCTGTTTTGTTATGGGTGTAGGAGATGCTCCTATATTAGTGGAAGCATAAACTGGTGCTATCTCTTTGGAGGACAATTTGGCAAAACTTATCCACTTTAACACATTAACTGCCATGTGAGTTGTATTTAACTCACACTAGTTTTGAGCCCGGAGCCTTGTGAAGCATAGGTAACTCACGCGTCTCCACCTAGGGAGCTGCAAGATTTTTCAAGCCGCATATAACTCACACACAGAAAATAAATAACAAATTTTTCATTAAATTAATAAGGATTGTTTTGTTTTTGAAGTTTTTGTTCTATTTTCGTAATAAAACTCCGTGGCCCCCTGAAAGAAATCTTTTCTAGTGTGCCAATGTGTTAAACGCAAATATTATTAGACACAGCCTTGTTTAAACAGCGAGACTGAAGACCATTAGGAATTGACCAATAACAGCTGGGCTAATTCAAACAATGAAGTACTCGGCATCCTTAAAAACCCTGGACAATCAGCCCAAGAATGTGCCTCAGTCCGTAAGATGCTTAACACTATACACAAGCGCGTAGAATATCCCTGGGTGATGGGTGGAAAATGAGTACCAATCTTGGGGAGCAGGAACTAAGTGGGGACGAGGAAAGGACATTTCACTTTATACCTTCTCATACTGTTTGCTTTTTCAGATTAACACTAAGAGGCACCTCCCATTTAAAAAAAAAACATTTTAGTAGAAACCAATAGACATAGATACATTTCACTAAAACAGCTGAGATGTTCTCACCATTACCCATCTACCAAAGAACAAAAAACAGGTGCTGATGAACATTACTGACCACGGCACATTGAGGTTTATGTGCTGGTTGCTCAAAACAGAACTGTAGCAAGAAAATAAGCTTTTCTACACATTCTTATGAATACTTAGAAAAAAATATTGGTAAAGAGAAAAATACTTATTTCTAAGAACATGTTAAAAAAAGTTACATCCTCACCAGAGTGATTTTGTAGTTCCCCCACCCCAAATTTAACAAAAAACACCCGAATACATGGAGATTACAAATAAAGCCAAATATTGGGTTAAACGACTAAATTAGGGAAGGTTATTTAAATGAGAATGAGACTGTCATATCTAGACACTTTTATAAACACAGTTTGAATTAGACATGTGCCTCGCTGCACCAAACCATCCACTGTAGGTGTCAGAGAAACAACACGGCTGCAAAAAGCAACAAAAACCTCCGAGGTAGGTAAAAAAGATCAGCATGGTCAGGGAACCTTATTTTT